CTTAATATGCTATATACGTCGTCTGGTCTAATCATTCAATAGATGAACTAAACTTTGGTAGATTCAGCATGTAAGCGCTCTTGTGCAGATACTTGAATCCGATTAGTTTAACTGAAAAAGGATTTGCTCGGTATCCGCTCCTTAGTGATTTTCATTAACATAAGTCTACGTTCAACATATCGCAGTATAATTTATATAATTCTCCAGCTAAATAAAACACTTTAGATGCATATAACCCGGAACGATTTGGAATAAGTAATCTACTTAAATCTGTTACTATGTTCCGAACAACGCTTTGAAAAAAGGATTATTTGGTTCCGTAGATCAAAGTAGGTCTAATACTGCAATCCCAAGCAACAGCTGTCACATTAAAGATGTAGTTTTACCGGGAACAACGCGACCAGGAAAAACGTCGCAGCCACCGCATTGTGCTTCGACTTGCTAACTATAAAGTGAATTTTCCATCGACGCCTTAGAGCAGGGGTCACCAAACTTTTCTCATAGCGGGCGGGATAAGTAACAAAAGGATTAGTTTGGGCCCCATAATCACTATGCACAATAACTGGGAGTCAGAACGGAAACTCAGAAAAAAGACAAGGAAAACGCGACGATCGGTATACGCTTTTCATTTTTCCACTGCTTTAGTAAAGGCTGAAATAAATGGGATCCGGACAAAATAATGTTGAATTTCAAACATAACACAAATTCAATTGAAACGTCGGAAAAAGGAGAACAAGAGCCATTTGGAAACATAAATTTAGTAATACCATAAGGTATAAACCTCAACAATTTGCGCTTCTAGCGCAATTTCGCGCTCTCAACCTGCACTTTATTCGAATTTTAGCTCCAAAATGACATACGCATAAACTAGTGGCGTTTTACATGACGCGTTTTTCATGTGATCTAACCAATCCCCTTGATCATGCCTGCGTTGGTGTGTCTCTATGAAACTGAGAATAAATTATTTATTTATTGTAGCACAAAGTTGTGTGGGGAACAGTCACATGTTAAAGTGAACGGATGAATGGGTTTCATGTGTGGTCACTCACAGCAGTGTTCAACGATGTGGCGTCACTTAATGTATGGTAGTACGTTCTCACATATAAGCACTGTAAAAGGGCTCAGGCTAGTGCCAAACAATGTAAGGTCACTGGCATCGTGGCATGCAGTGTTAAATATAAATTTATCACAGTACGTCTTGTTCCATTTCAGAAAACTTGGTAAACGACCGGTTAATGTATTTATGGTGATACACAACGTTTCGCATTTGACACAAATGCTTCATCAGGCGAAGTGAATTATCTAAACATTGGCATTTTATAGCGATCATGGCTAAACTACATACAAAGACAAATCAATTTGCAGTTCATCTATGAATGATCACAACGGTCAAAGGTCAATATGTTCGCGGGTACACTGTAGTTTGTTTCAGTCAGAGTCAAGTGGGGGAACAAAATTGCCGGTCCGTAGATAATTACATTGTGGTTAACAATCTTAATTGAACCGTTGCAGGGAACTTGGACACTGATAGAATTTGGCTTTAGTTCTTTGGAGGGTGGGTCGATAGTTCATTCCGACTTGGGATCCATCCACCGATGCTTACAAAGCTGGCCGGAGTAAGACTGGACGCCAGGCACTGGACAGCCCTACTCCGTCTATTCTATTCACGCAGTTGTTAGCCTTGGTTATTTCTATAGCCTCAGCAATCAGCCTTTGTTTGGCTGATCGTAATCCCTTCCTGATTACCTCCACATTATCGAAGTCAATTTTATGCCCCGTGTCTAGCGCATGCACTGCTATTGCTGAATCTCTGAGTAGAGCTCCATACTCTAGCTCATTTCGCGGAGGTCGTGATATGTGTCGCCTATGTTCTGAAATCCTTGTACGTAATTCCCTCGCTGTTTGGCCTATATACACTTGTGTACAATCTTTACATGGAATTTTGTAAATACAGTTAGTTGTTCTATCTAAAGGGAGTGTATCCTTCAGGTGCACAAGTGTGGACCGTAGCGTTCGACCCTTCTGGAAAACTACCCTTATCTTCTCCTTATTCAATACTCTCCGAATCGCTTCTGAAGTTCCTTCTTTATACGGAATACCCACTGTCGCTATCCACTCTGCGGTTGGAGTTGCGCGTGGGTTGAGACATTTCTTTAGCTGTCGTTTCACCAATCGTTTCGGATATCCGCTAGCTATTAAGGTTTTCATTGCTTCCCTCTGCGCTGCTTTCTTATCTTCTTCCTCCGTGCACAGAGCTCTTGCTCTGTGAAATAGTGATGAGGCGATTCCCGCGTACACGTTCTTTGGGTGGCTTGAACTATAGCTGAGTACCCCATCTGTGTCCATTGGTTTGCGATACATCGTTGTCTTTAACGTTCCTTCCTTCCTATGTACCAGACAATCAAGGAACGGAAGTGTACCGCTCTGCGACTCAAGTTCCATGGTGAACTTTATCGCATTGTCAATAGAGTTCAAATAGTTTAAAAATTCTTCCTTTTTATCCCTTTTTATAATCGCAAAAGTGTCATCCACGTAGCGCCACCATACTTTCAGGGCACCACGGAAATTGGGTAATGCTTTATTTTCAAAATCTTCCATGTATATATTTGCTAATACGGGGGATATTGGAGATCCCATGGCCAGACCCTGTTCTTGAGTGTACATTCTAGACTGAAATGTGAAATGAGTCATGTCGAGACACAAAGCTATCCCCTCCACCACTTGATCCACTGTCAGCTTTGTTCTGTCCTCCAAGCTGCTGTCACCTCTCAAACAGTTTTTCGCTAATCGTAACGCCTCCTCCTTGGGTACATTCGTGAACAAGGAGGTAACATCGAAGCTGACCATCAATTCGTCTTGTTCGATGCTCACCCCTCGCACCATTTGTGCAAACTCATAAGAGTTTTTTACAAATGTGTTCGTTCTCCCTGTTAGGGGTTGCAGCAGGCTCGCTAGATATCTCGCGAGTTCATGTGTGGGAGAGCCTATGCTATCCACTATAGGTCGCAAGGGGACCTTGGGCTTGTGTAGCTTTGGGAGACCGTAAATCCTAGGTGGAATAGCCGACTTCGGATAAATGCTGTACCATTTGCCCTTTCCTAACCTGTCCTTCACGGTCCTTAAGTAACTAGCGACATCTGATTTCTTCTTATTCATTACCGATGTAACGCATTTCTGCTCAACCTCTTTGTACGGTCCCGTGGTCAAATGCTCCTTCATGTTATCTAAATAATCTGTTTTATTCATTACCACTGTTACTTTACCTTTATCCGCTCTTGTAATGACAATACTACTATCCTCTTTCAGGGTCTTTAACGCTAGGTGTTCAGCTGGAGCAAGATTCGATTCTACTGGCTGTTGAAATCTAATTATATTTGCTAATTGGGCGCGGATGTTTTCCGCCTTTTCAAGTGGTAATCTAGTCATGGCGTGTTCAACTCCAGGAATTACATCTTCTGCCTTTAGTTTAGATTTACTGATAGTAAAATTTAGACCCTTTTCTAAAACTCTACGCTCTATTACACTTAACACTCTATCTGACATGTTAACAACGCTACCATAGTTGCTATTAGATACTTCCTTATCAGTACGACTATCGACCTTATTATGTGAAGCCATCAAGTATTCAAACTTACGTATTTGCCTCTCCTTCGACTCCCGTCCTCTTGCTGCCTTAACTTCGGAGGCCTTATCGCAAAGTCTGTCATAATCAGTCTGTGCCACCGCAGTCTGTAAATCCAAGCGCAGCTGATTCGCATGGATGCGGATTTCACCCAGACGTCTAGTTGTTAGGTAGATTCTTTGTCTCAGAAATGCTTTGCCTGCTCTGAGTGCTATTCGTGCCGAGGTGTACGAAGAATCCGGAGGTTTAACTTTGAGGGATTTTGGAATAATGTTGTTCTTGAGGCATCTGATGTTAAAAATCCGATGATTTTCCCAATTGGCTTCGATGCCTGCTAGGCGCACAAATTCACTCGCCATTTTGCGAACACGAGGTCCGTAACTGTACTCAATATATTGGAACATATTTGGAACCGATCGGGAAGTCATCATTTCAGAAAACTTGGTAAACGACCGGTTAATGTATTTATGGTGATACACAACGTTTCGCATTTGACACAAATGCTTCATCAGGCGAAGTGAATTATCTAAACATTGGCATTTTATAGCGATCATGGCTAAACTACATACAAAGACAAATCAATTTGCAGTTCATCTATGATAATAATAATAATAATAATGATAATTCACTTCGCCTGATGAAGCATTTGTGTCAAATGCGAAACGTTGTGTATCACCATAAATACATTAACCGGTCGTTTACCAAGTTTTCTGAAATGATGACTTCCCGATCGGTTCCAAATATGTTCCAGTATATTGAGTACGTCTTGTTCCCTTCGATTTATCAAGCTAATTCGGGTACAGTCGGCGGGCCGGATGAAGTGACGTCGCGGGCCGTAGTTTGGTGACCCCTGCTTTAGAGGATAAACCGGTTTGGATTTAGATAGGATTGACGTTGTATGATCTCGGGACGAAACGGCGAATAATTAGCGCATCACCAAGCAAAAGAAAGCAGTTCCCAAACTTAACGTAAGCCAATAAGTTTCTACGCGGACCATGACTGAAAGCGGGTCTTGATCTATTCCGTGAATAGGTTCACGATAGCGATTTGGGTTCAAGTAAATTGTCGCCAACTCAGTCAAAGTACTTTTATATGAAGCAAGAAGACAACCATTTGCACAGAACAGTTGTCATACGATAACTCACACTTCTGTAGAAATTAGATACTCGAGTCCTCATAGCGCGATTAACTGTGCACTGTACGGAATGGTCGGCCAATCGTAAAAAAATGACAGCAAGCAATCAGACAAGTCAGATTTGCAAATTGAAGCGTTGCACCAGGCGAAGAGTTTGCTGCGGTAAAGGGACATGGGCACGAATGATTGCAGCTGGCTGTGAGACACCCGCGTAGCGTCGTAGTAGTTGGCCAGAGCATATAGTCAACCTGCAAACAAGCAAACTTGCTAAGTAACAGGCGCACAATGAAAGAAGTCTGACTCCGCAAGCTGCAATAGTACGGGGAAAACTCTCATGGCTGGAGAGATTTTATATCGAAAAAGGCAATGCTGGAATCCGTCTCGTACGTACACTGGGTTTCAGAAAACCGAACTGTTGGATTCGGCCATATCGTGGGCGTTGTGATTATGACCTAAAATGCACTTCAATTCAGAGTTGTATAATTGAAACCCGAAAACAGACCAACAACCGTTGTTATACACCTAGTGTAGTTAACGACTTAAAAAGCACTTCAAAATTACACCTAGCCATGTTGTGATCCATGCCTGCAAGTCGGCCATTGATGTTTGTGTGCATCTGTAGGCAGCCCACGGTAAAAGTAATTTCAAGCAATCTAGGAAGCTTCCTGGATCATTCGACATATTGCACTCAACCGAAACGACAACAATTGCTGGAGAACCAGGATACTTTGTGTGGGGCGTGACAATGAACCAGATTGCTTCAGACGCATTGAAATCGTCAGAGTTATCCTATTATAGAACTGAAGACCGGAAACAGCTCTTCGCAGTCTGGTCCTTAGTTAGGATAACTAGGTCTGCTATGAGTTGGTAAATATAGCTTAATAAAATATTCGTAAGTAAGGTGGATTTGGCAACCCACGGTAAACATTTTCGATAATTGATTTGCTTAGGTTTAAGAGTGATAGTGATCCTTTGACGCACGCCAAGTAACCTTTACCCAAACCAGAGTATGTAAAAGTGGCATAGACCAAGAACTGGATGATAGCATCTGGAATCCGCTTAGTACACTGATAATGTAACCGGTATTACATCGGTTGGGGAAAGATGAAGCGCATAGCAAGTGCACTGCGCATTTCGTCATTTGGTCACGCTTGACTGGTTACCTCAAGACCTATGTTTCGGGTTTCTTCTATCATTACGTTTCAATTCCATTATACGCCACTCATCTAGTGTTCGCCAATCCAGTGACATGTGCTACACAACCGGAGTGAAGCGACAACACGCCACAGATGGGTAACGTCAAAAGGATTGTGAGTATAGTGCATGGATTGAATTGTTATGTGAAATGATTAAATCCACTCAAAGAACCTCGTTCCATAAAATCAGGAATCATTGCACAATGAAGTGTCACGAATGGGACAGAGGCAAAAGGAAGTGTTTAGAAAAACATGGCATCCACACACAAAGAGAAAGAACAGCGGTGAGCAGGGACGAGTTCTTGATTATGCCAAATCCCAGTTAATTGTTTTTACGTCCATGAATTCCACCAAGGCGTGAGGCCCACCTTCTCTGCCGATGCCAGAGTCCTTGACGCCTCCGAAGGGCATTTCCGCCGCACTCACACGTGGACTGTTGATTCCAACCATGCCACACTGGAGCTGCCGTGCAACAGACCAGGCCTGCTGAATCTGCTGGGTGTAAATGTAGGCAGCGAGACCATGGTTCGTGGCATTGGCCAAATCAATAGCCTCGGATTCCGAACGAAATCTGGGGAGACAAACAATGAAACCGATCGATAACGGCTTTGAGAAGGAATTTCCGCATGAGACGTAAGTGGAATAATCTAAAAGATTCATTAGTACCCGATGCGATAGTCATCATAACTGAGTTGGGCCAGCTAAGTGATATAGTTGACAGTGCGCCGTCATCAATGACTCAACGCCTCAGATACGGCTAGTACTGTGTAGATTCCCCCTACAGTTGACAATACAAGTACATTCGCCAAACCAAGGTGTTCGATAGGCTAACCAAATTGCAGATAGCAGAAGCTCAACGATGCTGTCTAGGGTTTGGTAACCTCACCTAATGCAAGGAAAAAGACCGTGGACGAATATTGGTTTCCGCGTGCCAAACTAAAAGGCGACTAAAACCCAAAAAACAACAGAATAAAAGTGGAGTGCAGGTCGTGTCTAACACAACAGTAAACAAAAATAGTCAATAAACTTTGGCTGCGCTCGAGTAACCACAATTCCAACGATTCCAATGCAAAGGGGAACCACTCAGAGAGACAGACCCACTAGAACTAGATTTCAACGTAATATCCGTGTCTCCGGGGACCATCGCAATGAGGCTGGACTTTACGGAAGTGTGACGCTTTGCATACGATCCATTGGGCTATGTTGCGTGGTGCTTTTTGCACCAACAGAGTCACTCATACCAGATTGGTCAGTGGTCAGAGGCCTGGCAACCTTAGCATCCTAGTCCTCCAGGTTGGGGGTTGGAATGAGGGTGTCTCTTTATACCTTAAAACGGACTTTTTGTAGCCCACCGTGAAACTCGCTGCCTTACGGTCAGGTTTTTGAACCAAGGGTTTTGATTGGGAAGTATAATCGTTCTCCTATCAAGGTCTGGGCAACCTGACGGTATCCCGTCCATGTAGTAAAACACAATGACTTTGCCTTAAACTATTTCTTTATGCTCTAGCCGTCGAAGAGGATAATTAACCGTACCCTATCTACTGCATCAAGCAGGATGAATAGGGAGTCAGATGTCATTGCTCAAATCTTCTGTCTTCTTATTACCTTTCTTACGTCTCCTCAACCTTATCGTATCGTAGCAACTTCACCATTATCCCCCCGTTTTCAAGCGCACAATTATTGGCCGCCCTCCGCCTTGTTTTAACTGGCGTTTACCTTGTAGTTTCAACTTATACGCAAAAGCGGAGCATCACCCCTGGCTTAGCAATAAGCCCAAGTCTAACCCAGCGGTAAAGCCAAGTACATCGGCTTCGATTAGGAGCCGTCGATCCTCTCAGATTGTCATGCCTCAAGGTGCGCACACTGTTACAGATCGGTCAAGACAGCACTTGCCCGATATATGTTGCCTATCGGAAACCCTCCTACAAGACTCGACCTTTGTGCCCAATCTAAAATTCTTATCAGGTGACACTAGCAGTGCTTTCTCACTGCGCGCATCCGCAGATGATGTAGCTTCGAGTGCCGGCCAAGCTATTGTGGCTATTGCCCTGGACTAACTACTGAAGCTGCTCTGGTTGATTGGATCCCAATCATTAGCCAGATGTGTGTGGCCCAGTTGGCTAGCTCGAGGGATAATAGGTGTCTGTTTGTCATCACTGTCAATGCCACCATAAACTGTAGAGATGATTCGGTAAAGGAAGGCTTTATCGCCAACTGAACGAGCTCCTTCGCCACAGAAAAAGCACGGAAACTGTAGTGCTGACCGGGGATCTGAACACAAGTTGAAAAATTGTCTACTGAGAGGCTGCACCTGGGCGTCCAAGACGTTGTAGCCTCCGTAATGGTAACCGTGAGCAGTTGCTACAATTGTGTGAAGACGCTCGCTTATTGCTTGCGTGCAGTAACTTTCAACATGGCACCTGAAAGAGGGTGACATGGCGCTCACCATCTTTAAAGCAGCCTTGGAAGCAGATCGATCACAATGCGATCAGTTGCCGCTGGAGAGGGTGAGTCCAAAACTGTCGCTCGATTTGGAGCACGTGTGGACACTCACAAAGTACTTGTATGCGCTAATCTCCGGGTGTGGTTTGGCGGTCGCCCTCGACGAACTGTGAGCGTACAGACACCAGCAAACTGGCGAAATCAGGTGGTCTGAATATGTATCGAAGTACACTGGCGTTCGGGTTGAGCAAGCGCTCACTGAATACAGTTGAAGGTCACTGGTCGCATGTTCACCAGACTCTATGGTAGCAGGCAAATCATCATGTGGTAAATCCATTCGCCAACATGGAGACTGGGTCTCTTTGCAGTCTCTGGAGATCATCGATGCTCGCCGGCACATTCCGGCTGGAAGCGAACACAAAGAAACTCGCAAAGACATCAGGGCAAAACTCCGTACCAGGCTGAAGAGAGACCGCGAATCTGGTGGTCTCGTCGTGCGTCAGGGATGGTAGTGGCCGCTGCCCCTGGTAACAATCGAAAGTTATTGCGTTTGATACGGGAAACGGGCAGCAGGAGACCTGGTGTTAGTCAAACAATACGTGGAGAGAATAGACAGCCTATTCACAACTTGTCAAAACGTCTGCAAGGTCGGCCTGAGCATTTTGCAAAACAATTTAATTGACCGGAATTGTTAGATCCCTCACCGGCCAGTGATCGCCCTGCTCTCTGGGCTTGCCCTTTGGATCCGCCCTATCGCTCAGAAGTCGGACTTGAGATCGGACTGTTGAAGTTGAATAAAGCGGCGGGACCAGGTGATCTTCATCCAGCTCACCTCAAATTCGGGGTCTCTGCTTGTGTTGATGATTTACACGAATTACTGGTGAAACTGTGGGATCAAGAAACTGTCCCATCCGACTGGAGCTGATCCGTTATGTGCCTAATCTTCAAGGGAGGCTTACGTTCGGAGTACGGTAAAAACAAAAAAATTCAGTATGACCCCAAATGCCTCTGTTATTTGCCTCTCTCATCCTTCACTGACTGGCACTCGTGAAAGCGAGATTCGTGTGAAGCAGGCCGGGTTTCGTCGGCGCCGGGACTGCATCGACCACATCTTCACTTTGCGTCCGTTGTTGCAGCACCGTCACATATATTGGCGGCCCACCGTAGTCGTGTTCCTCGAGATGAAAGGTGCCTTCGATTCGGTGGAGCGACGTGCCCTTTGGGACTGTTTGCTAAGTAAATGTGTGCCCGATAAATATGTAAATATTATCCGACCGCTACACGCGCATAGCTCGGCCAGGGTGAGGGCTTACGGCAAGCGGTCGCCTGCCTTCAGTATCGCCAGCGGTGTAAGGCAAGGTTGCCCACCGTCACCTTTTCTCTTCAACTCCGCTATCGACGAAGTCATGAAAAGCGCGTTCACAGGACACGACTTAGCATGGAGCTGCTCCCAGGAGAACGACTTCTTGACTTAGAGTATGCTGACGATATTGCCCTCATCTGTGACAGCGCCCAAACGTGCCAAGCAGCACTGGACAAATTAGCAATGGCTGTCACCCGTTTCGGACTATGCTTTGCACCCTCCAAGTGCAAAGGTTTACTAAGAGATTGGCAGGGAGCACCTCTTGCGCTGATCCTTGGTGGGATCAGCTAGAAGTCGTTCAAAATTCAACTATCTAGCCAGTGGTATCAGCGTTGTAATTGAAGATGAGATCACAAACCGTATTGCAAATGCGCGAGGCGCTTTTGATAACCTTCGCCAGCTATAGCGCCGGCGCGACATCACTCCCTCCCTGGAGCCGTAAGTACGACTCATCACCACCCAGCATAGATCTATGGACACATGAGGCACGCAAACCATCGCACCAGGGTTGTGAAACCTGGCTCATTAGATCAGCCGACAGAGAGAGGCTACTTATCTTCGACCACCGGTTCCTTCGCAGTTAACCTCATAGCTAGTGGGAACACCGTGTGAGCAATGAGCGTGTTTGATGCCTTGTTTATGGTGCAGGAAGAAGAAGCGAACCGCTCAGCACCGTTCTACCACATACCAGACTTTGATGGTTGGGCCAGGTGTTGCTCATGCTAGCTTGCGACTCCCGCGATGTGCGTTATTTGCGCGCCGAGGGTGTGTATTGAAGAAGAGGATGGGAGGCTTGGTCAGAAGGAATGAAGTTCCTTATTTCGAAGTTGGCCTCGGTCTGAGCCCCTAGGCTCCCTGGCAGGGATCCGATAGACGATGAACACGTTTGGTCGGAGACACAGATTGACCTGACAAGGAGCCGACCTCAGGGAGGTTTGTGAGGTGAGTTACTTTGTCTATCCCCTCCCGCTTAGCCTCCACCTCCAACCACGATCTCATTTAGTAGGCATAAGATAACTTGTTTTTGCTGCACTATAGCCAACTGGTAGCTCTCCGGAACGATGTCAATCCGTTACTGGTAACTCAGTGGGCATGCCTGCTGCATTTGTTCTACTTTTTATATATCCACTACGGTGTAATAGCTGAGGTGTTCTCCACCCCTAGCTACGTGTATAATGATAATGGTGTGTCTTCGGGGAAAAATGAAACAAGCGAAATGGTGACAAGTCATAGAGTTGGATTTGACAACTGTAAAAATGTCAATCAGCCGCTGGCTTGGTAGTGCTCATCACAGCTTATAGCAACTAAAGGTGAAAGTCGTCAAAAGTGGTCATGACTGATCACAGTCACGAGTGTATCATCAAAGTGAATGGAAAACGCTCATTCATTTAGCTGAATTGAGTAAGATGCACACAGATGGCGTTATGGAAATATGTGCATACAACAACGAACTGAAGAAGCTCAACCGCACCGTGGTTTCCGAAGAGTAGCAAGTTTCCTGAGCACCAAAAAGGTTATTGTGCGCATTAGTAAGACCCAGGAGGAAATTCATAGTCCCAATCATCGAAAATGAAAACGGGAAAACAGCAGCTCATTGATTAAAAGAAGTGTGCAGACGCTACAATACGGTAAGTAAAACTGTATGGGTCTAAGATATGGTGGTCACCGCGTGGTGAAGACGTCAGAAACATCGGGCCACCGATGCAGTGAAGCCCTATTCGCGCCTGATGGACGTACCGATTGAGCAATAATGAGGCTTATCATTTGGACACGGGCTCTATGGTGATGCAACGGAGCGTATGTTGAATGGCTGGATCATGCTTGCTGCGCTAATGGAGTAATAGTTTATAACGGG